AACATAAGTATATGAAGGACAGGTTGCATTGGTAACCTGGGTGCTCCTCTGTAGTCACCCTTACAATGTAGCTCATGAAGTTCATGGCGAGGTCGCTCTTGCAACTCGAAGCCCAGTTAAACAACGCCAACTTCATTACCGATAGGACTCTGGTCTAGTCCCCGGGCCACTGGGGTCAAATGACCAAGTGTCGTTACGCCTGTTTATTTAGCAGTAAATAGATGCCAGTGTGTTAATTAACTACTGTGGTTGGCATCCTAGTGAAGAGAACCAACTGATCCCAATAGAAATAAGCCACTTTGCTTGCTCTTTTCTTGGCATTTTTTTTTTTTTGTTCTGAGTAGAAGAAATTCTTTAGATTAATCCCAAAGGGATATTCTAAAGAATTTCTACTCAGCCAGCGTCAACCCAGGAAAGAAAATCTAGTAATGACATTCATACTCACCTCTGAGTATATTCATCAACGATAAACCTTACCCGAGCTACCGTAGGATGAAACCGGATACAAGTCACCTAGGACCCTTCGGATGTGAGTCGAAAGATCAGCTACTGAACTGTGAGACACATCCCCATCTACCCATCTACTCTTGCAATCTCTGAGTGATCACTAGAACAGATGGCGCTGCAAGGCGATCACAAAGACTTACTGATGATAATACTAAAAAAAAAAGAAGCAGAATGCAAAGAGTGCCACCTTGTGACAAAAGGTTTGTTTTATTTAAAGCTTTATCAAAACAAGCTATTGACACAGAGCGAAAAGTTTCCCCATCCCCTAGTTAAAGCTTCCTCAGCACAAATGTTTGTATTTAAAAACAATTCATCAGAATTTCAGTAGGATTTGTTGAGCTGTAAATGCTATGGTCTCAGTACCTCGATACTCGCTCTTCAGCATAATTTTCTTCAGATTACAAACCCTCATCATAATATACCATGAATATACAATACCGACAAGACTATGAATTACACACAAGTGGAACATTTGGGTACACATATTTAGCAGAGATTTCTCCATTTATTGGCTTTATCACTACAAGGACGTGAAAAATGGCGAAACTGACAAGATTTGGAGAAAAGACACTTATGTACAGTATAGGACGTCCATTAGAAGAAACGTTTCGCCACAAAGCCACTCGTGGCGAAACGTTTCCTTTAATAAGTGTCCTGAACTTTACATAACTGTCTTTTTCCACAATAAAACGACGTAAACGGAAGACTGAAGAAGAAGAAGAGGTAATCAGTCCCTCAGCCTCGTAAAATTATATATAGAAGACAGTAGAATGTAATCAGTCCCTTGAGGGTGGTGAACGGGTCTTGATACAAGGAATTGGAGCTGCTCTCATATTCCCCGGATCAAACACTAACAAAAGTTATGAGGAATGCCGATATATATCCCGGGGTTAAGGGCGCCATAGACAATAGTTAAGACCATAGTTAAGGACAACATTAAGAGCACCATAGTTAAGGGCACCATAGTTAAGGGTACCATAGTTAAGGGCACCATAGTTAAGGGCACCATAGTTAAGGGCACCATAGTTAAGGGCACCATAGTTAAGGGCACCATAGTTCAAAAGGTTCCGGTTCCAGCGTCTTCTCGGAGCCTTGTTGCAAAATTTGTAAAATTCCTCCACAACTTTTTAATAAAAGTTTGAAATGTTGGTACCTCGGACGCTGGCAATATCTGCCTGATTACACGGGGAATTTGTATAAACACGGGGTCCCGTGTGAAGGGTTCCTGCACAGGGGCAGCTGTCTTACAGCCTTTACACGAGCAGCTGTGTAAAATCCTTCTCTCCGGTACCTGTGTAGGATTCTTCTCACGGGGACCTGTGTGGGATCCTTCTCACGGGGACCTGTGTGGGATCCTTCTCACGGGGACCTGTGTGGGATTCTTCTCACGGGGACCTGTGTGGAATCCTTCTCACGGGGACCTGTGTGGAATCTTTCTCACGGGGACCTGTGTGGGATCCTTCTCACGGGGACCTGTGTGGGATCCTTCTCACGGGGACCTGTGTGTGATCCTTCTCACGGGGACCTGTGTGTGATCCTTCTCACGGGGACCTGTGTGGGATCCTTCTCACGGGGACCTGTGTGTGATCCTTCTCACGGGGACCTGTGTGTGATCCTTCTCACGGGGACCTGTGTGTGATCCTTCACAGGGAAAGGAAAAAGCTGCAAGAATTTCCAGGCAAATGAGATTACACTTGAAGTGAGATTCAGTCTTTTCTAAAGTGATGACAGACTGCTGTCAGCTTCATCCTGGTGTGTGGTGTAGCTGGGTGTGAAATATGTTAGTCTCAGGTGGAAGAAGAAGACAGAGATGACTTCGTATTATTAATTCGTGAGGGGTGTTAATCTAGGTAGGATACGGCAAGAAAATCTAGCAGAGTGGTTTATTAGGTATCCCCAGAAAAGGAATATCTATAGTGGTTGACGGATTTCTTTTTATTCTTTTCCTCCTTTCAAAGTTTCAATGCTATAACTTGAGATGCTTGTTCTGATAGACTTGAATCTTTACAATACATGGGTATTTACAGAGCTCATAAAGAGGCCCTGATGTCCAAGAATGAGGTCAGGTTACTGACATTTAAGTAGACATCCGAGTAAGGTTATCAGGTGACGGGAGAATAAGCCTTGCTAATTCTTCGGAGGTTATGCATGATCCAGAATTTTGAAGGATATTGTTCGTTGTGGCTATAACTACGGATTCAAGATATAATCTGCAGCGACGGTCACTTCCACTGTTAAGTGCTGCTGTTGGGGAGGTCATAAGGTGGCTCAGTGTTTCTGTGTAGAGTTCATGTGCTGTTTGCGTCGTCGCTCCGGAATTAACAATGCCTCTTCCGAACGTCTTCAAACTTCAAACACTGATGAATCTTGTTTTAAGGAAGAGTCACTAGAGTTTAAGGCCATGTAGGGGTAAATTTCCATTTTTTTTAACATTATTAATTAATAATTGGGAGTTAGTCTGGGATAAATGAATACCTCCGAGGATTACCTTCCGAGGATTACCTTCCGAGGATATTTGTTTACAGGCGATAACTGAAGAATAAACCGTGTGACTGACCTCAAGTTTTCTACACCGGTATATTATTCTTAATGGAAGTTTTTATTTTTACACTAATCAGTTTTACAGGCTAAGAACTGTTACTGTACCTCAGCTCATTTATAGCCCCAGCGCTATCTAAGGTATCCTACCCCCCAGGATGCCACCCACACTAGTCGACTAACACCCAGGTACCTACTTACTGCTAGGTAAGCAGGGGCGGCAGGTGTAAAGGAACAAGCCCAACGTTTCCACCCGTACCAGACTCAAACCACTGATACTCAGTGTGGGAGCTGAGTGCGTTACCAACCGAGCTACAGGACACAGGAAGCGAAGGAGAAAAGAAAGATACAGAATGAGAAGGGAAAGAAGGGAAGAGACAGGCAGTGAGGAAGGAAAGAAGACTGGATTAGAGAACACACACACACGGTAGTGAGGGAGCAACACTCACCTAGCCTCTTTCGTCTCCCTCTGAAGCTGAGGAAATTGCTGTCTTGTCTGGTTTAGGAAGGATCTGAGCGTTCTGTACGAGCCTCACACGTGTCCATGTTATAGACACTAAAGGATCACTTTTACTCAAACACCTTAGACTTGTCTTCAATTTTCTTTGAGAGACACAGTGTACTGTACGACAGACTGCTCAACCCTGGACGCCATCAATGTGAAAGTGTAATGTTTTTAACCCTTTTTGTTTACATTTCTTAGTCTCGTTTTGAGATAATCTGTGTATAATTTTTAACTACACACATACGCTCACACATGCAAACACACGCGCGCCTCCTAGTAGCGACTAGTGAGGAAGTGGGGCCAGCTGTGATCGGATCCCTGCAACCACAATTAGGCGAGGACAGACAGACAGACAGACACACAAACACACAGACACACAGACACACAGACACACAGACACACAGACACACAGACACACAGACACACACACACACAGACACACAGACACACACAGACACACACACACACAGACACACACACACACAGACACACACACACACAGACACACACACACACAGACACACACACACACAGACACACACACACAGACACACACACACACACAGACACACAGACACGGTTACACAAAAATGTCAGGTGAAAACTTTTAAAAGAGGAACTCTGACAATAGACTTTGCAGCCTCCACCTGCTACCTCTTCTCTCTCAGCATCATTTTTGTCCTCTTGTCCTCCCCCCCCTACATTTTTTTTTTAAATTTAGCTTCTACTGCTTTATTTTTTATATTTTCTCTTACTTTATGTTTTCTATAAATTTTCTCTCCACTTACATATGCTGTATCACAACAGCGTATTTTTTTCTCTTTCAGTTCTGCCAGCCTCATTCTCTCTCTCTCCCTCTCTCTCTCTCTCTCTTTTTCCTGTCTCTTTACACAGTCTTTCTATGCCATTTTCACATTTTCTATATCTACTTTTATCTACCATTTTTCTTCAGCTTGTCTCTATCTTCTACTCTGTCTTTCCTCTCTAACATTTATTATTTTTATTTCCCCGTTTTTCTCTTTCCTCCTTCCTCCCAATACTAAATCTTTCATTTTCTTTCCCTCCCCCCTTTCTTTAATTATTTTTCTCTTCCTTAAAGCCGTCCACCTGGAAAAGAGGTTCTGTGCCTTATCCCCCTCCTCTCTCTCCCTCCCTCTCTCTCTCTCTCTCTCCTTCCATACCTGCCCTCGTTATCTCGGAAACGGAATGAGGGATTAATAGTCCCTGGGAGTGGGTCCCTCTCATCCTCGGCGCCCCTCAAGGGGAGGTGCCTAGATCCCTGGTGAGGGGTCTTGATCCAAGAAACTGGACTTCGTCCTTCCTGTCCTTGACTGGAAAAGCTTGTCCGCATTCCCCAGACACTGTCTCTAATAATAATGATATTTATAATAATGTAAATAATATTAAAAATACTACTACTAATAATAACAAATAATAATAATAATCTGACCCTTGAGTATGGCATCTCCGACGAAGAGTTTGCCAGTGAGGTCAGCAGCTTGGTCCTTGAAGATCCTGGAGATGAGGATGGGTAGCTTGTGCTCGGATCCTCCCTTGATGCTGAGACCCAAGCCGGAGTTCCTCTGACGAACCACCTTCACTCGCCGGATCTGTACAGCAGAAGCAACCACGTTATAACCACGGAATAATAATAATAATAATAACAATAATAATGACGATGATAGGAATGATGATGACATACTCGTGGGATCTTCATGCTAAGTGAGAGAGAGAGAGAGAGAGAGAGAGAGAGAGAGAGAGAGAGAGAGAGAGAGAGAGAGAGAGTAGAGAGAATCTCCCCTGATTACATCTCACTCACTCAGCTACTCAAGATAAGATACCATCATATCTGGAGATTAGGACGTGGAACTCTGATTATGAGACGCAGGACTCGTTAGGGAAGTGCGAGACGTGAATGACGGGAGGAAATAAAAATGTTAAGTAATTCAAACTAAGAGAGAGGAGAAGACGAGGAAATATGAATAGAGTGGAAGAAAAAATGGAAAGCGAAATTGGGCGGATAAGGAAACACTCTAGACAAGATGAGGGTATTAAACCGCCCGGGGAAATATTACCCAGAGATATTAATACCACTAAGATCTCCACCACCCATGGTACTAATACCACTAATAACGCTTCATCAATGGTACACCAATGGTACACCACTGGTACAATGGCATACACAAGAATACAATTTGCAGTGGATTTGGTAACTGTGGGCTGTCTTATTTACTAAATGGAAAGACAAGAAACTCAAAGGAGCGAGAACGAATGTGTTGCGGGCGATGAAGACTAGAAGAGGTGTACGAGGAAGATTGATGAGGTGAAGCCTGAAACAGCGAAGAGAAATAATATGATGAGTAGTAGACCACCGCTGAGATGTGAACAAGTGTTTACAAACTCACCGTTAGACATGAGATTCTAACAGACCACCAGGTAAATCTGACGTAAAAGAATCCATCTGTTTTCTACGACCTTTTCCCTGGGATAGCAAACAATGGTGCCGCCAAGCAGGAGATTCTGTTTATGAACACGCTACTAAGTAAATTTCACGAAGAGAAGACAGCTCTTTGCTACGTAGCCTTCCTTGGAATAGCAAACAATACTTGTATTCACTACAGGTCTGCCTTAAAGCACAAGCTACGCGGATACCACACACACTCCTACTGCAAGCGGCCTGGTAATTAACAATAACGCACTTTACACAGGTTTTCTTGTATCATCACGCACTTCCAAACTGATATTGAACTGTAAACCACATGTAAAATGTAAAAATTGTCTCAATGAAAGCTAATGATGTAACTTGTGTGTCTCTACCTCTGTATTTGTCAGCTTTAGTTTATTACATTAAGGATTTTTTTTATTCAGTTCAGTTTATAGACCGAGAGCTGTTAGAGAGTTGTTACCGATGTTTAATTGATGTCGAAACCCAGTCCGGTCTAAGGTAGAAACCAAGAGACCACTAACAGCGTAATACCTCCCCACAGTAGAATCCAGATCATTTTGGTTGAGAGCCGCGAGTTTGACCACTAGACTACCACTCACCTTGTACCAGCCTTGACGTATAATCGAATTTAACACCAGAATAACTTAGTCTTACTGACTGTTTAAGCTTTCCCGATAATTGTTTTTTTTTTACAAATAGCCTGCACGAAATATAAAATAATGATTGAAATGCGCTTTTTAACATGCATTAACCTTGCTTAGTTTAACTTTTTATATTTCAACTAGACGTGGAAACAAATTGTGTTAATTTGTGTCGACAGATGGAACTGCTAGTAACTACAAGAAATCCGGGTTAAAATATTCCCATGCGACAGAACTGATCATAAACATTAGCCCATGACTCAAACGCAGCAATCAGGAAACCTAAATTTCCCGAGATCACATAATATCGAGAGATTAGCTGCTACACGGGAGAAGAGGCACAATAGTGCCACATGACTGAGGAATTTACACCTTTCATTTAGTATCGTCCTTATTACATCTGCAAATACGGCCGCCACACGTGGGCAACAATACGGCTTCTAGCAGAGTAATTAAAAACCTCGCATAATGGGTGCTATCCCCATTTGTGTTGTCATATTTGCAGCACAGTGTAAACGACGCAGTCAGATAGGATGTTATTACACCGAGAGATGTATGCTCCCCATTTTAGGTATTAAAACATTCTTTATAGATGGTGAACATGTGACACGCAGTTTTAAAGAGCCAAGCATTCAAGGGAGTCTCCGTGAGAGTATCAGTGTTATAACCTTCACCACTTGTTTATAAGGAAGTAAGGGAGCAGGAATATTTTGTTGTCTGATAAATAATGCTAAAATTTGCTTAATTGGTGATATACTTTCTGCCGAGTTCTCTTAACCGTCACTTATGACACTAATGTGAACACTGGCTTGTGATAGTGATGTGAACACTGGCTTGTGATAGTGATGTGAACACTGGCTTGTGATAGTGATGTGAACACTGGCTTGTGATAGGAGTGACACTGGCTTGTGATAGTGATGTGAACACTGGCTTGTGATAGTGATGTGAACACTGGCTTGTGATAGTGATGCGAACACTGGCTAGTGATAGTGATGCGAACACTGGCTTGTGATAGTGATATAAGCACATAGTAATGTGACTGGCTAAGCCCGATGTTGTCATACAACTTTCTGAATACTAACCCTCACACTATCCCTGTAACTACCCCTCTCACTAGCCCTTATACCAGCCCTCACACTAGCCCTCATACTAGCCTTCATACAATCTCACACTAGCCCTTACTTGCTAACTACTTCCTTATTTCCTCTCCGATTATTCCTCAACCTTCCTTTCCACAATGCTTCTCTTACAATCCCCCTCCTGTCATCCTTTTCACGTCTCCCACTCCACCGCTGCCAAATCTAGTTCCTCATCGTCCACTCCTACCCCCGTCTTCTTGCCCTTTTTTCTTAACCTCCACCTCCCATGACACCTCTACCTTTCCTGTCACCTCCACCTTCCATGACATATTCACCTCCCATGGCACATCCACCTCGCAGGAAACCTTCACCTCCCATTCCACCTCCTCCATCCTGAAACTCATCTTCGACCAGCCCTTCGTTTCCCCTCTTTCTGCCTTCTCTGCTAATTCCCTCGCTCTCTTTTTCGCTTATTCTGACATTCTGCTCTCCCTCCTCGTCCGCTTACTTCCACTCCTGTTCTCCTGCTCTGCCTACTCCCACTACATCGCTCTCTTCCTTTTACACGAACTCTTACTCCATCCCTTCTTTCTTTCCTGCTCACTCCCTTGCTCCTTCTCCCTTGTCCACTCACTCCCACTTCCTCTGCTCTTATTTCACCAGCACTCAAGGGAACTTTGATGAATAGAATGAGGAGGAATAGCAAACAGTGGGTACAACAGCAGAAACAGCGACAAAGGGAGACAGGAGAATACTAGGTGCGATCCCTCTTCCATATTTGCTCTTCTATGTAACCAGATTCCACGGAAAAAAGAGTCGAAGACCAGCAAGGGAAGGGAATTATGCCAGGGAAGAGTCGAGGTGCTAGTGTATACAAATATTTCATAACAATGGTGGATACAGGTTGATGATTTGCTCTGGGTTCTTAATGTAAATTTATTCCCAGAAAATGCCGAAAATTTATGGACTGCAAATTTCAAAGGGTTGAGTAAATTTCGAGGCGATTTTCTTTTCCCAGTATTACAAAAAATTTGTCATACGCGTGAAGGCCAAGAGTTGATGTGAGCAACAGTTTCTTGCAGCGAGGTGCCTTGATATTGAGATGCGGCACTTGATTAAGACAAGAACTGTCTTCCCTTGGCTGGTGGTGATAGTGGTGGTTATGATGGTGGGGGATGTATATGGTGGCGATGGATGTGGTGGTGGTGGCGGTGGTGCGGGGGATGATGTGATGGTGATGGTTGCGGTGGTGTCTTCCATCTCCTATCCACTGGTGTGGCTTTCTAGCACTAAAAATAAACTTCCCCGCTTAAAGATGAAAGCTGTTGGTGTAGAGAAGTAGGATGGGCGAGCATTGTTAGGTGTGTATTGTTAGGTGGGGCAGGAAGAGTAATGGTGTGACGATGGTAGATGGAGGTTGTGATGGCAGTGGTGACGAAGTGGTGGTGATGACAGTGGTGTGGTGTTAACAGTGGTGGTGTTGGTGTTACAAAAAAAAAAAGAGAAGTTAGGTGTCTTGTTGGGTTACAGAATAGAAGCGAGTAGAGAACTCTGTGGAGTTTGGGATAAGTCTCCTTACCTATGTAGCCTGTGAAAGTCTTCTTTCCCGTAACAAGGTGTTGGATCACGGTCTGGGCTGGCTAACTTTAGTATAAAGGACCATCTTAATAAGCTTTTTCTAAATTATATCCAGGAGACAAAAATCCGACAAAATAATAATTTAATATCTTTAATATTAACTTCTCTTAAAAGAAGTAGCATACATACTCTCTTTTGTTGAAAAATACAGACTGGTACCTTTGAGTACAATAATAATAAAGGCCACAAGTTTATAATACAATTTATGAACATTTAGAAGTGAGAATTTCCATTGTCACGAGTCGTAATTAACCATATATACACAAATATCCAGAGGTTTCAATCATTGATGGAAATGTCTCACTATAGGTCGACTCTATATACGTACAAGGTTAAATTGTACATCCGTACTCGAATAATCACTGGCTTCGAGTACGAATTTAAGTTCGGCTCAGTTCAAATTAAGACTACGGTAATACGTAGAGGTCATAGTTAAATCCACTAATTGACTTCACAACGTCAGAAAAACTCGCAGCCTTAGTAGATATCAAAATCTCTAAGTCCAGAACTAATTCTGTCCTTCACTGATACTCAGTGTAGCGAGAAAGAGGTTCTGTCTCACCAACTGAACCGTCTGTTACCCAAAACTTGAGTCTAATCAAACTTCGAGGAGAATGAGATGTTACCAAGGCTAGAGGTAGGCTGGTACTCACTAAGGCAACGAGATGTTACCAAGGCTAGAGGTAGGCTGGTACTCACTCAGCCAACGAGATGTGACCAAGGCTAGAGGTAGGCTGGTACTCACTCAGCCAACGAGATGTTTACCAAGGCTAGAGGTAGGCTGGTACTCACTCAGCCAACGAGTA